GCAAAAGTGCCAATTAATTGTGACGCCATCAGCAATAGGCAAATCGTACTTGTATAGGAGATATAATATTGGACCCATTGCGCTGCCATGTGGCACCCTAGCTAAGATTTCATGTAGTTCAGACTGTTCTACGCCTTATTTAATAAAGATGTAGCGCTCTTTCAAATAGTACTAAATAAATACATATCGTCGTCTCAGAAAACGGATGTCGAATGTTACAAAACACGGTTTTGAGAAAATTGACTTTGAAGTTTAAGGTCGAATTAATCCGAAACTGTACGGTAGATTTTTGTAACTTTTGAAGGAGACGTAGTTGGTGTTATTAGTTTTGATTTCCCATATTTTTACATTTAATATCTCTTAACGTTAATGAGAAAATTTACTTTTCATTCCGTATACATTTGTCGTAAGTAGCGTTTACTCACCACTTTGTTTTGTCCACAGAACATACGACAATAGTAAAGTATCTATTTCAACGACGATGGTATAATTTGATGAAAAAAAAACAGACATATTTATTAAATAATGATTACTTATTAGAAAAAACATAACAAAAACATAATCATGTATTTAATAAAAAAAAAATCTGTACATCTCTTATGCTATAAATATGTTACGAACATACGTTTTCTTTATATAAAAACAAAAAACAATACTTAAATTCAGTCTTTTGTACATTTTTATCTCTTTCATTTCATTGGAGACTCAGTGCAAGCTAAAATTTAAAAATTTAAAATTTTAAAATTAGTTACTTAGTTCAATTTCCTATTTTAATTGTATCGTTATAGTAGAGGACCATCCAATTGTCGTAAGTTCAAAGTTTTGCGATACATACGACAAATGTTTTATGATTAAAAAAAGATTACATTTGTATGGGAATTTGTCGTATGTGCCACATACGACAAACGTTTTATGATTAAAAAAAGGTACGTTTGTATGGGAATTTGTCGTATGTGACGCATTTTCAGCACATACAACAAAAGGCATACCCAATCATTAATATTATGTAACATACGACAAAATGCGCACGAAATATCTCAAAAACTAATGGAGATATTAAAAAATGGATTGCAGAAATCGAAAGAGCATGTCCAACTTAGTAAATCTGCATCAAAATCCCAAAACCGTGATTTTGCGCATTCGTCATCCGTTTTCTGTGGCGACGATATATAGTAGTTGGTAGGGAGCGTAGTTTTTTATTGTCTGATATAAAATTATCATTATTATTATTTGTGCGTGGGCATTTTTTATCTTGATAAAAAATTTAATCACTTAAAAAATCTAGAAAATATGTTATTTCACATCCATATACATAATAACCAATACGCCGCCACAAAGTTATCGCGCAAATTAGAATGTAGCTGTGAAAGTACCAAATTGCTGGCAATATTTATCAAGACAAAAGCTTTGATAATTATTGCTTGCCAAGAGTAATATGCGGTCTCCATTGGCAAAATTTTGCCTGATAACATTACCAAGATGAAAACGTTTGCCTGTGGAGACAGCAAGTAAAGTAGCCCATCGTGCCAAACGCAAGCAGCAGTGCTGTATTTCTTTTGGTCAAATGGTGACTGAATTTTATCGACAAGCCTATGTTCGTTGTGCTGTTCCCACTTCTCAATCTAAATTGGTGATTCGGAATAAGCTTCGTCTTCTCGATAAGTGGAAGTAATCTTTTAAGAAAAAGCACTTCCAGGAGTTTGGAGACTAAGGGTAGTACGCTAATAGGTCATTTTAACTTGTTTGACTTTCCATTGAGGAGGTATAAAACCGATGTACAGAACCGCGTTGAACAAGGATATCAGAAACTTGATGCCTGTCGGGGGGTAATTGTTTTAATTGGCCAACCATTACGTCGTAGCCAGGCGCATTTTTGGGTTTTAGCTTTTTAATGGATGTTCGTGTAATTTGAGCGTTACGCTCGTTGCCTAAAATCTCTTTAAGTTCTTGAGTGAGTTTATTTACCCTTTTTAACCGACTTCCAAAACAGGAGGAGGTTATCAGTTCGTCGGAATATTTTTTTTTTTTTTTTTTATGTATGTTACCGCATAACTTTGGACCACGTCAACCGATTTCGATAATTCTTTTTGCATCGGAAAGGTAGTGTCTCAGAGGTGGTCCCATACTAATCTGGTTAAGATCCGATCAGCGGATCATGAGATATATATATATATATATTTTTTTATATGGGAGTTGAAGTCGGTTTTTTTTTTGCTAAAAATTACTAGTCTTGAGTCTTGTGGATTACGAGTGTACTACCACCATTGGGGTAAGAATTTTATTGTGTAGGGGTTCGGACTAGTTCCAGCTTGTTGCAGACAGTTGTTAAAGTGTTCAACTGCTTCAGTTATACCCTCATTAGTTTAAGAGCTAGTACTTTCAAGTCAAGAGTAGAAGAAACTATGCTTCGAAAAGTGTTCCAATCTTTTGCGTTTGTGTAGCTGCCAATGTGCGGATTTGTTGAGAAAATTGTTATCGAGTGAAACAAGTAAGAGTATGGATGAAACGGTACGAGTAAATACAGGTACTTCGATACTTTTCGGTCGATACTTTTTAACCAAGTACTGAGTAGGTATCGAAAAAACAAATAGTCGTATCGATACCGATACCACGGCAGATTTGGCTTTGTCAATTTTTCCTCCACCGTTATTCCGGATATGAAGCGCCTTGTTCTTTATGGCTGCTTTATTGCCAGCGAAAACCGCGATAATGCGACAAAGTTGATATAGTGCAAAGAATACACGCTCCAATTGCTTCACCAATTATGAAAAAAACTTAACTAAGAAGAAAAAGAGTAGGCTACAAAGAGTTGATTAAAAATATTTTTGGAACTAACTGAAATATTCCACAATTTTAGTCTTGAGAAAAGTAGATGTCAAATAGAAAAATTATTCTACTTCGCGGTATCTAGGTACTAGAAAATCTCTTATATTTTGAATATTTTTAAGAATTTCCTTTAGTAAAATTTCATCCGTATAATTTTGTGTCTATACCCTTCACACTTACAGTTTTATTTGGAATTTAACAAGGTGAATTAATAAGGAAACTTCTTTGGCTCTAAATTTTTCTACATTACATTTCCACTGCACTGAAATCTTTGGAAAAACTTCTACTCCTCGGAAGTACAACAAAGAAGGACTTTTGCTCAGAAATATTTTATACTTTCTTTCTACTTCCAATTAAAAGTATCGATACCTGCACGGTATCAATTCATCCCTTAAAGTATGTTGACATATAAATATAATCTCAATCAGAGCTCGTTTTATCCACCCCCAATTTGTTGTGCTTGTTATTCTCACATCTCAATGAGGGTTTTTTTTTCTCTGTGCCACCATGATCACTTTTTCTGTAATATTAAACAATTTAAATATATTTAAACTTAATATTTTATTTTATTTCTCCTCTTCTCAAGAACAACCGATAAAACTAGGTTGAGATTACTTTATAATTACAGACTAACGAGGAACGAATTTTGTATGGCTAACCTCTATTTCTAATTACAGATTAGGGAGTTCAGCTCGAAAATGAGGATAATCTACTTATGTATATGTAAACCTTGTATAGGTACGGGCGAATGGTCAGAGGACAATTCAAAGCTCATTAACTAAATTCCTGGAAATCTAATACATAGCTCTTACTTCTAGAATCTAGAGTGAGGAGTTCAAAAAAATTTAAGAGCTGAGGCATTTCATGCCACCGCGGCCACCGCTGTGCGCGACCTCTCAGGATTTGGATGAAAGTTGATGAGATTGAAGGTCTAGGTGACTTTATGAATCAAAAAAGTAAAATAATTATATGAGTTGATTTCTGGAGCTTTAGGCCGGTTAAATAAAAAGCAAAGCAAAGTTTTCTTTTATCCTCCTACGCGTTTCGGCGTCTTTTCCGCCTTCATCAGGGAGTCAGTCTGTTTATTTGAAACAAAGCATAAAAACACAAACAATTGGGCTTAAAAACACAATTAATAATATGCGTACATACATACATATAACATAGTTAACAAACTACATATATACATATATAAAAACCACAGCACTTACATTTAAATTAATAAGAACAAAATAAACAAAACATCACAATAATCGCTTCACTAGCAATTACTTCTGCATCACCGTCCATCTGTTTTCCTATTGCACGTTATTGCTGTCCTGTATGCGCAATTTATGCTATCGACATCTTCTTTGAAATTCTATGCGTCTTGTATTTTTTTGTTCTTGTATATGCAGGCCTTCTAATGTTAGTCTTGTTCGCACTCTCTTCTCTATATCTAATATTTTGGTGTTGTCGAAATCAGCCGTATGTCTGCTGTTTGTCAAGTATTGGGCTAGCGCTGTAGTTGATGATGATTTTTGTCTGCATTTTGTTGTTGCTATCAGTCTGTCTAGAGTTTTGTTTGGGTATCCGTTCTTTAGCAATATGTTTTTAATTTTACTGTTGTTATCTTTTCTGAACGCCTGGTCGGTCAACGCGCAGATCTTGTTTATAAGGTTCATAGCTGTGTTTTTCTTTTATGCCCAGGGATGCTTAGAATGATAACTTATCATTCTGGAAGATGCTATTGCTTTTGCATACCAATTCGTTACAATTTTATTGTTTACCATATGAATTTTCAGGTCTAGGAAGGCTAACTTTTTCTTGTTTTCAAGTTCAGTGGTGAATTGGATTAAAATAATTATAATACAAACACTGCACCACGAATGAAACTAATTCTTGATAATATTATTATAAATTATCTAAAATAAAACAAATGTTTTAGTCAAAAAAAAAGATCGAATTCAATTAACGTATTAACCGGGAAAAATTGGCTAATTGCTACATAAAACCCTGATTGAACATTGTATTAATATTTGGCCTTATCGCGAATTCCATGTAAGCAAATATTCCCAAAAATTATAAAGCAAAACAAAAGCTATTTGTTCCAGTTTTTTTTTGTCTTGTCTGTTAATTTAACAGCGATTTATTCGCAAGGAATTAACGATTAGGCTGATTATGTTTTATTTTATTTCAATTTAATATATTTTTGCAGTCATTTACCCGTCAATTTCAAAATGAGCCGCAAGTAGATTTGGAAAATGATTTTCTCAACTTTGATGAAGAGGACGAAAACGAAGGATTTACCGACGCCGATCTGATGGGCGATCTACTTGACTGGGACCGTGAGTACTTACATTCCTGTTTCTTTGAGAATGAATAAAAAATAACCAATTGCTTTTTCTAAATTCCAGACCTCTTACTTAAATTTGAATAAATCTAGTAAAGGGTCTGAAATTTTAGAAAAAATCAATTGCTTAGTTTTTTTTCACAAGGCCCAATATGAATTTAATTTTATATATATATATTTTTTTTAGCTCAACCCGGACGTATGTCGAACCACTGCAGTCCCGATCGCTTGGAGGATAACCGAAGCTGGCAGAGTGCCGGTGGTAACAATTTTAATTCCGCACAGCAACAGGATGTGGAGGAGGTAAATTTACAACGCGAATTAATTTACCGGTAATTTCTAAATATGCTTATTGTAAATTATTCACTTTTTATAGGTGGGCTCTATAAATCAGCAACCCCTTGCTGTCGGCTACATGGTTTCCACGGCACCAACCGGACGCATGCCCTCGTGGTTTTGGTCAGCCTGCCCGCACCTGGAAGATGTATGTCCAGTATTTTTGAAAACAGCACTGCATCTCCACGTGCCGAACATACAGACCACCGATGATATACTTAACTCGACAAATGCGCATTCGTCAGCCACAGATCACCCATTGGATTCATCCCTCACTGCCGATGTACTGCGTTTCGTATTGGAAGGTTACAATGCTTTGTCCTGGCTTGCATTGGACTCGAA